AAAAAAAAAAAAAAAAAAACATTTTCACATTAAAAGCAATGTTCACGTTGCGTTTAAACGTAAAGCGCCACAAAACTTGCCGCCAAACCACCAAGAATTCACTATGATATTGATTCCACGAGGCTCGTGCAATTATGTATACAGAATTTAGCAGCAAACCGTGGCAGTAAAGCTACCCGTGTAAAAGCTTCACGAAGGCATTTCAACGAATGAAAATATCCGAGCAGCGCGATCGCGAAACGCTAAGATTTCACAGTCGAATTCTGCATACCTTTTTGTCAGTCCGCTGCACGACAAAATAGGAACTTTCCTCGACAAGGACGCTAACGAATGAAAAGTCCGTCCCGGGAACACCTAGTGAAAAAACAAGAAAAACTACAAAAGAGTCGTAGAACATTTTTAAAAAAGAACCTCTGCAAGCATGCTGCCGAAGCGGAAGCTGAGGATTTCTGGTCTGTGTTTCGAGTGAGAGATACAGACGTTACGTTTTTTAAGGTTTAAGTCTGGTAGAATAATTATTATCCTTGCGGAACCATTATTCTGTGAAGATAATAATATACAGGGTGATACTGGAATTTTTGCATATATTTTGAAATATTTGTACCGATAATTATAAAAGTGATCTAAGTCACCAATCTGAAAGCAACGATTTTATTATTTATTTTGCATCGATTTCGTTTACATCGCAATAAAATGAACTATTTTTTAAAAAATAAGGAGAAATTGAATCGTTAGATCAAGTTTCCAACTTTGACAAAATTTATTTTTTATTCTATGACATATTCTAAGCGCGAAACGTTTAGTATTTCAAAAGCAAACGTGTGTGACTTATGTCACTATCATAATCACACGCTCATTTGAGATACGTGTATTATTTTAACTCGAACCATATCACTGCCTAAATAACCGCTTTTAAATAATTGATTAAAAATTTTATATTTGTGCTATCTCTTTGGTCACTTGACTTTCCAATTTTTCTTTCAATATATATATATATTATAAATTTTCAGTACTTCCTTCTATTCCATTTTTTCTTCAAACTCTGCTTTTACAAGGTCAGTGAGTTTAGTGTAAAGAAAAGAATTTTTTTAGATAAAATTGGCAATATCGAATGAAGAATTTAGAAGCAGTTCTCTTCTGAATAAGGCCTTCAGTTTCAAAGGTCACATGAAAGGTTTCAAATCAGTATTTCTCGAGAAAGGTGTAGTAATTATAACAGTCTCTTTAAATTTGGAAGAAAGTTCGACGAAAGCGTTTTCCTTTTATCAGAAAGAAGCAACTATTACGTTTCATTCGAATCATCTGCTTCGTCTGCTCTTGAAGTGACTACTTAATCTGCGCTCGACGAAGCAAGATAATCGATAAAGCTTAAAGTAGAGGCGGTGCAAGTTTTTGGTACTCTCGAAAAAATCAAACAAACTGTCCAGACTTCCACGAAGCTATTACCGAAGCACGAAATACCTCGTCGTAGAACGTACTTGATAAAATGAAAGTCAGAAAGGCACCTTTTTCAAACAACTCCGTACATCTCTTTTTACACCATCTTATAATTTGTTCAAAAGACAAATTTAAGAATCCGTGATAATTTTACCTTCCGTTAACCTTCAACTTTAGTACGAAAGCAAAATTTTCGGTACAGCAATTTCTACTTACATGATCTTTTATACCGACTCTTTTTGCACGGGGTGTAAAGAAATGACGTGCAAAAATAATAACAGTCAAATTTGGAGAATTTTTGCCTGAAATTCCTTTTACAGGTTTTCTCTTCGTATTGAATAGAATACTCAAAGACAATTTTGCTAAGAAATTGTTTAGTAAATCTCCATCTTTCTAAGGAAAAGAGCACTATTATTTGCAAATCCTCTTGCTCTCGTATCATCAACAATCATAATTTAATTGTTAATTAATATTCTTTGATATTAGTTCTCGAGACAAGTATTCACTTCCAAATTAAGCTACTATTAAAATAAAATATTCATCAAAATATTAGAATCATTAAAAAAAAAATTGGTTAACACTGAACCCATGACAGCCAGTCAAATGACCGATACGTGAGAAAAGAAAAGAAGAAGAATCTTGAAAACCTGGAATAGGAGGAAATATCGAGCAATTGATTACATATGCATCAAAAGAAGAATCACACAGCCGAGTGAGCAAAGCGATTACATTGAATGCGGAATTTTTATTAAAAATCTTAGAAGTAGACATATGAGATATGGCAGTATCAACGTGAAATCCAACAAATTCATCCTATACAGCAACATTCGATATCGAATAAATTTTACAAATGCAAAATGCGGAAATAATAAAGATGGAAGTGAGATAAAGCAGGAAAAAAAAGCGAGGAAGAAAATAGTAGGTCAAGGTATAAGGAAATTAATGATCCCCAGCGTAGTGTAATCAAGCAATTCATGGAATTCCATAAACTCGCAGCGAATATACAAATTTGCATATATCGATTAATATACAGGCGTCAACCTGCTGGTAGGGTTGGATTAGGTTTATGTATACACGCACACGTATGTAATAATATGTACGTATATTTTGTTCCCGGCGAGCAAACGAAACAATTTGGCTGATGCGGTGCATGACAAAAACTAAATGTTAAGCACGTACCATATGCTCGTAAATCTCATCGGCTATAATTGGTATGTAGTAACGAGCTGCCACGTCAAGAATGTCAAGTGTGTGATCCCTGCTGAAGGAACCGCACGGGTTCGAAGGATTGTTTATAATGATCGCTGCTGTGAATTCGTCGATCTGCGATTCCAGATCGTCCAGATCGATCTCCCAGCCGTGCTCGGGCTAGAAAGGCAAACGATCGATGATAATCGAATCTTCTGAAAAACAGACCATTATTTTTACAACCGAATTACGTGACCTGAGAATTACGCGATGAGATAAGTTGCTTATTTTACTAATAATTTGTTTATGAAACAGGAGGAAATTCTCTGGTAAAATTGTTTGGTTTATGGTTGTGGTCGATATATATTAAGTTCATGTAATATTTTCTTTTTTGTTTCAGGCATTTATTCGAGGAATTTTTATCCTATTAGTTAATTATTATTATCCTATATGAAACTCAAACTTTTTAGTTCTTTATTGTATAAGATTTTTCATTTTAGTGATAGCGAAAATATCTGAACGTACTATATTTATACGTGGAAAGAGAAAGGGATTGTATAACATAATTTGAGTAAATGGCTAGTTTAATAATTTTACTATATTCCTCTGTGCTGTGTACTTTTTAAATATTCTGTTGTCTACGATGCACCGAGAAAGATTGAAATTTTCTTGATTATCGGAGATATATTAAAATTCAGATAGAGGAATATCAAAATTTTCGGAAATATCGGAGACGTATTGAAAGATTTTGCAAATTTGGACGGCGTTCGTGACTAAAGAATTATCGCAAAAGTAGAAAACAAATTCACAGCGCGAATAGAACTTGTGGATAAGTATAAAAATCGATTTATGGTATTTATGCAGAACAGGAAATATATTATCAGAAAATGTTTTGTAAACACCGCATTGAACCGCAATTCGTCTTTATTAGACGCAAGTTCTCGCCTTCTTTCTCCAACTTTTAATTACCTTAGACAGTTTTCCCGATGGTAAATATAGTAGACGTCTCGGCAAATAAGACGATTTACGATATCTCTGGTACAGTACATTCTTATTGCCTTTCAAGCTTAATGGTTAAAAATGCTTAATGGTAAAAGTACAGCGAGTTTAAATACCTTCGACTTATCAGGGCGACCTTCTGCGCCATTTTTCACGGTGCACGCGCGCGCGATCACACCGGCCTGTCTTCGGCGCGCGAGGCACCAAACTAAACATAACCTACCCCAACACAACGGAATGGACGCAACGAAATATTATCTGAACATGTCGCGAACGTGGCCTGGAAAGTTAGCGCTTGTTCCAACATGTTCCGCAAAAATTTTGTTGTTCCCAATTCTTTTTCATTGCACCACTTTACATGTAACGATGTAACAAACGGCCAGATAAAAGCAAAAAGTTCAGCTTTATTAAAAGCTTTACTGAGATAAGAAATATAGCTACGCTACACACTAGTGTATACGCTGTGAAATTTTAAATACACAACTAACCAGTTACTGTACATTGAAATTAAAAATTTCTATGCTAATTTCTCTTATTTTCAAATTGTTTCTAAAGTGGTTCTTGTAATTTCGCGTCGATAAATATTAAAGTTGTAAATTCTGCCATTTCTAAAAGAATTCTCGTGGCGATATTTGTACTTGGAAATTCAATTTCGAGTCAGGAAATATTCGAGATCTGAAATTTTTCATGCGGTTATAGTATTGTTTAGAAGGATGTTTGTTTTTTTTTTTCGTTTCTTATGGATGTTTGTAAATACTTTTGGATCACCCAGTATATAGCAGGTGGATCAATACTTATGTGTGGGCATATAAGTCACAGAAAACGGTATGAACCATGCAATACGATAAGCTGCAAGTAGCCAGACTTCCATGGCTCGGTCTTTGACAATGATGTATTAAAAAGTAAATTATTACCATAGTAACGTTAGTATAGTGGTTGTTGCATAAAACTGTTATAAATCTGCAGATTTTAATCTCGTTTACAACATTAATTCGGTATGTCGCGTACATTCCGTGGAATTCTAGCATGCTTCGACGAAATATTCGATATCTGACACTTAGAAAAATGGCCCCACAACCATAAGTCCAAGAAATGGACGGCGCGTATTGAATTTATGATTCTATTGTCGCGGTGTATCGTGTTCGAAAATTACCCGAATTTAGTAAAGTAATTTAACATTATATCAAAATTAATTTCTCGCAAATATCTTTAATGTAATTTTTATAATGAAACCAACGCTAATATTTTACTATTATTACGAAATGTCTTGCATTCTTTATTTCAATCGTAAATATTACATCCGTTATTTCATTTGGAGTAAAGTTCGAAAAATTAAATTTGAATAGATTTAATTCTTTAAACTTTAATTAATTTCCACAATCCTGAGATAGCTACTTTCTGGAATAAAAGATACCATTAAAAATCGCGGCAGGTTAGCCGAGAAATTAGAGCGGAGCATCATGAAAATTGCAAGGTTTTATTTTATATCGACTCAACCATCCGCCATTCTCGTCTGAGAGATTTAAAGTGTCGCGACGAGACTGACATCGGAGTGAAACGCTGGAAAATTAACGCGAACCTTGAAATTCAATAATGATCGCCAGAGAGATCGCGTATCGCGAATGAATTTTTCATCGCACGTGACAAGTTGACGTACGTGTACCGAACGTCGAGCCGTGCACACGTGCTACTCTTACCTATGCACGGATAATCCGCGTCGACTTGCACATTAGACCACACGCTTTCCGGCCACGCAGAGTCACGGTACCGCGATTTTAATTACTTCTTCGTGGTAAAATAGTCCACGCTGTCTGGACGAGTGTCGAGGCATTGAAACTCACGGCAAAGGAGACAAAGGGACGCCGACATAGGCCCCGTTATTACTACGAGGTTTAATATTACGTCGTTTTTTTCAAATCGAGGTCCGTGTATTTTCCGGGTCGTAGGAATCGCACGGGAACACGGGAAAAATCAGTGGTTATAAGGAAAAGTATCGCCCATCGTGTAATTTCACTCGGGAGACAATGTTGGATTACGGGTAGCGGAAATGAGTACACAATTTTAGTGATAATTGTTACGACGACGTTTTATATACAAGCAGAGAAATTTCAAATATTAATTACCCTGCTATTTCGACAAATTGAGAAACGAAAAGCAGGCATAGAAATCAATAATTGGATGAAAACAAATTTTCTTCCTAGTCGAGGTTTCAGACCCTTGTGTGACTACATTCCGGTCGACTTCTCTCACAAAACACTCGACACTCGAAGGAATTTTTGACTGCTGACAGATTTAACTGCATGTATCAGATTGACTCGTGTTATACAAAAATTATTTGTGTTTCGATCGTAGTTAAGATTCTTGGGAATCACTTGTCGCGTTATGTTTGGTTCCTGCCATAATTTATGGCTTTACAGGATCATTTATTTCCTTGTACGTTATCCACAGACTTCAAAATAAACCTACCGCGAAACAACACCAGGCAGGTCAAATGACTTGTGAGAAGGAATTATTTAGTCGTCTGGGAAAATCGGCTGGCGCCAAGTATCGCGCCGAATTTAACAATTGACCTTGTCTGCCATCCCCCACTCTTGATACACCGTCTTCAAGTCGCAGTGGTGGGGAGAGCCGCAAGAACCTCGAAGCATTATCTAACGCCTTGAGGGTAAAAGCCGGAGAGAAGCGAAGGCACACAAAACTGTTGTCGTGGGTTCTAAAGTCTTCCCTAATCTAAATTTTCACCCCCTAAACCCTCTCCAAATATAAATATACGGGCCACAAATCTAGTTAACAAAGAAACATGTGTCAACCATGGAAATAAAAAGGTTTATTTTCGTGCGTAGTTCATGAGATACAAATATTCTTTTTTTCCTTTTTGTATATAGCATACGTAATACAAATTTAACGAATAGCGACGGTTTTGAAAAAATTTGAACACTATAATAGAAGTAAGATTTAAAAAGGTTTTATACAGCTAGAAATAAAATTAGTTATATAAAGTCAAAGTTATAGGGTGCTATTCAAAGTCACCTTAACTTTTCCCATTGGAAATATTTTGTTGTCAGACTGTCATAGGTGCCTAAAAAATCCGGATGACAGTTACGTGCCACACCCTGTATATACAATAATATAGTATAAAATTTAAAGGTATAATACTATTAAAAAGTAATAAAAATAATAAATAATACAATTTTTTGTTTTCTTCATTAGGCTTCTTCAGAGATTTAAATGATGAGAAGTGAAATATAAACGGAAATATTAATCGTAGATTTATCGAATTTCTAGATCCTCGGTCTGACTCAAAAATCTCTGCGCGCAATTTTTCAAAGCGAGCTTACTCCCTTGATGCGTTTTTAAAAATTGTTCAACGAAATTCCATAAAAATAGTACAATAGCCTGATCGATACTTCTGTGGAACGATACGAAACACTATCTTTTCATCGTTTACTCGCATCAAACTTTTATCTCGAAGCAAGGCAAACTGGCTTCTTGCGAAAATTTCACACGAGTACACGCGTTTCCCATTTCTCGGAATTCTTCGGCTTAATGAACTATACATCGTGCTATTTCCAAAGAAGTCCTCCCAAACCTTTATTCCGTCACGTCGAATATAAACTAGAAAGAACGGGCAGACACAGAAATGGAAATCCATTTTTACGCAAAAAGACTCGGAGTCGAAGTTTTTCTATAAAAGCTGTTTTCGCGTAAAAAGGTGGATACCGGGATATCGACGTAAAGTTTCGTGGCGCGCTTATACTTACGCGTAACTCGTAGGATTTTACGTTGATACCGAGACCTTCTGCTAGTGTTCGATAGATCGAGAAACCGGGTCGTGGTATCAGAATATTCTGGCCCCTTCGCGCCAGCGCTGTTATACAGAGATCGAGCGCGCTGGAGCATCCGCTGCATAAAATTACATCCTGAAAAAAGAAAGAGAGTGAAAGAGAGAGAGTTCAAAGGACCGTGGATTAGTATTCCGTTTGAAAATCATCTTTTCAGTGAATTCATGACTGAAGCCTTTGTGCAAAACTAACATTCTATACGAATAAATAACCAAAAGCGTGTTGTGTTTGATGATCTTTTTTTTTTTGGTTTATTTAAATCTGTATGCAAAATTGCAACACACGTGGGGCCACTTATGCTCCATTGTTTTAATTAATTAATTAAATTTAATATTAAATTAATACGCGCCTCTTACTATGTTATGTTTGGTCAGATTTCTTTACGATCAGACTTACACGCTATTGTAGACGGTGTTAATAATAACAGCTTTGACACATCACTCCTATCAAACATGTTTTAATGTCAGGTATATTATTTTTAACGTATTTTGTAAATAGCAATGTCTTCTTATATGCCTAAGCGAAGAATAACAATATTGAATGAAATAATAAAAATTAATGATACCATTCAATAATAATAAATTAAATTAATGTACATTATGCACACAGAATATCCTTATCATAATTTATAGTTTTAATAAAAGAAAAATTTTTCACTTGCTGAGCATTTGTTTGGAATTTCAATTTTAGATTACTATGATGCACGAAAAATTATGGTATATATATTCGTTCAGTTATAAGTGAGATATCTCTCGTTTCTAACAATTTTTCATATCGTAGAAATGAAAACATTCAAATTTATTCAAAACAACGATTAATAAAGCGATACGTTAACGATCAATAATATTTCTGATTGAAAACTTTCCAACAAATCAGTTTCACCAGTCTATTGCGTTGGACACACGGATCGTTAACAATTTAACAAAATCGAAAATGAAAAACGAAGATAAAAACCGGGAAAAAAGGAATACTCACCGTGTTCACGAAGTATTTATATTTCAAAATGCATTTTCTAGATAAACCGTGCTGGCGATAGGCAAACAGCGAAATATCCGTTTATAGTGTGCATTAATTAAACGTTCGATGCACATGAAATCTTTAGAACTGCGAAAAAGCTCGGAGCCCATGGTTTTTTCTGGCATTCATTTCCTGAGGGCGTGCTGAATAAAGCTAATAGGAAATTCATTTCACGTCGTGCATTGCGATTTTCGCGGGACAGGAAGAATTTCCTTGCTTTACGAATATTTCTTCAACGGTACCGATTTTATGCGAGCTTCGAAACATCCATGCTTTGTTTCTACATTTTCGCGATAAAATCAAACACCATATTCAGATGCCTCCAGGTGTGTGAAAAATGCAGTTTCATAATCTATACACGGTTGTACGGAATGGTGTACATATTACCAGTGAAGCTTTTAATACACTTAAAAGTTATATGTATAAACTCTTTTAAAAAATTTATTTAATAATATAAATTCTCGTGTAGAATGTTAAAACATTGGGACACAACTTTTAATGCCATTTTTGTTTAAATTATGTATGCAGAATAGATTGATAACACAGATACGAGTAAAGGATCCGCACGAATTAAGAAATAATTGAATAATATATATCTAGGAAAATATTCCTAAAATTTTAACAAGAATAGTATCATCTTTCTTCAAGCAAAAAGAGATCTAAATGATCAGTATATTATTTAACAAATTTTCTTTTTTTGCTAGGCAAAGTTGTTAGTCAAGACAAAGTTTGGTAGTCAAAGATCATAAATCTAAATGATCGATATATTATTTAAGAAATTTTTCCTATGATCTTTGAATCAACTCGTGATAATACAGCTAACGACGAATACCTTAAAATTGCTATTTTATGTTAAAAGAAGAGAAGCATCATCTACTATAATCATACCAATTTATTGATCAACTTATTACCTAGTAATTTTTCCAATATTTTTATCAACAGCATCGCATAAAATTAGCCTTTCTTTTTTTTTTTTTTTGCTAAATTACAATACTTTGAAGTTATACAAGAAATATTGAAAATTATAGCTTATGCTAACACCCATTTCGTAACTCTTTTTTACAAACGCGGAAGTGCAATCGGAAAAAATATTTTATTAAAACTTTTTCCGATTTAATAAAGACATTTTACCTTTTTCTGGAATTATAAAAGAGAAATTTTTGATGCGCACATGAATTTAATCGCATTTAGCATACATGAAATATAACAATTATTAATTCTGCCTCATTCTATTCCCTCATAATACTCGTTATTTGCACGGACACGAAATATCGAACTTTGAATATTAAATTCGTTGCATAAGAGAACTTTCCACGACCGTGCAGCACGCGACGGTGAATTTGATTTTTATAATCGCGATGGATCGTTTAATTTTCTCTTCGCAAAACGTCGCAATCGGTTTGCCTTTAACTGTTTGTCGGAACAACGTGTTATAATATTAAAGCTTACCAGCGGGATATCAGAGGCAGGAAATTGCTTGGCCGGGAAATGAAGTACATTTTTACGTGTAAATTCGATGCTGCAATTTTATAAGTTGCTTGGTCAAGTATCTTTCAACGTTCTAGCTAACGTAGTCCCACAATGATTTTGCTACATAACGAGATTTTATACGGGGATTCTTGGATATCCGAGAAACAAAATATAAAACGAATAACATCAGGGATATTAGAAAACATTGTACGAGTACTAAGAATCTACCTGGTATCAAGATTATAAGTTGACAAGCTATGCTAAGAAATTAAAGCGAAATTCTAATAAATAGAGGATATAAAAGGTTGTTAAGCCAGGGTAGCTTAATTTTTAATTTCCTTTTAAGCTTTATTAATACAATCCGACTTGGCAACTCACATTCGAGTTTCCATATTACTTTATTAAATAGTACTTTTAATTTTTCAGATTTTAAATTCGGAGTAATTCGAATTTAAATTAATTAATACAACACGAGAGAAATTTCAATATTTCAATAAAAATGTAATAAATATTTTACGAATTACAATAGAACTAAAAGAATTGGTTTTGTCCCAGAAATTTACCCCATATAACGAGTGTTAAAATATTTTTGGAACTTCTTAGTCGCATTTACGAATTAAAAGAATAACAACATTATAACCGTCCAGTGATAACGTTTTGTCACGAGTAATACACATTTTCAACCCTTTGTATTCAATGATATTTTCAATATTCACTGTTAAAAAGTCGATGAAACCTTTCATAATCGTATAATTATTTTATTTCGATATAACCAGTAATAACTATATATATTTATAATTTTCTAGAGTGACACTAAATTTCCTCTCTTTTGCAGAATGCAAAAGATTAAATGTATCGCAAAATCCTAGCAATTGTTGTGTATTTCATGAGAAGAGATTAAAAATCGCTGTTCCAAATCGCTTCGCGAGAATTCCCGAAATTGATAGAATTTCCAAAAATTCGCGAAATTCATTCTTTCATTGCGATTTCGTTAAAAAATACTGCAATGACTGATATTTTCGTTCCACGAAATTCGAATGACGTTGCGGTCAGGAAAGGAAAAAATGGAACGACGAGCAGAAAATTCATCGATCGGAAGAACGATCGTTTCGAGGGAAAAATGAAACAGAAACGTTCGTCGTGATTTTATCGTGATTGTATCGTCAACTGCCCCGGAGATACTGGCTCCACGAGTTAATTGATGATATTTCTTCTTTTAGAGGAAACGTGGTTTTCAGTTTGCGGCCGATCGTCCAGGAAAATTCGGTTTTCCCGACAAACTTCGTCGGCAGTCCGATCAACTGCGGTTTAACTAGATATCGTATATACGTGCACGCGAACGACTAAATACACAGTGAGAGTGGACGGACACTCCGTGCTTGCAGATGAACAGGTTACATGCTAATTCGAAATAAATCGTCTAAAGGGATATTGAAAATGTAACAATGTCGATCGATTTCGATGGATTTAGATGAAAGGAAAAATGGAAAAATTCATAAGCGAATATCGAACCGAATCGAGGATTGTAATAAATAAATTTCTTGGAAATGTGACATTTTAATAACGAATACTTTACCATAATCGAGTAAACAAATTTTGCGATGATGATTGTAGAATAATTCATATGTGTTTCGTTTCTTTGTTATTTTATTATTTATTTTATTATTATTTTTTATTTATTTATTATTATTTTCTACTTATTTATTATTATTTGTTATTTATTCATTATTATTTATTATTAATAATTTCATTTTATTATTTATTATTTTATTATTATTATTCGTCATTCTATAAAATTTGAAACCTGGTGATGGTAAATTTAGAACAAGGTGGGTAATTTATCAGAAATTCATTCTGCAGAATATTCATGGCGAATTCGAAGAATTTTAATTGAATTACTTCCACATAATATACGCGATTATTTTAAACGTGGGTTCAAAAGAGAAACTTAATTGAGAATAGAAGTGATGTGTATTTTAGAATGCTTTGATGAATTCGAGTGTATAGGTGTATAATATCGTAGTTGTATTTGCGATAGATCAGGGTTTATAATTATCGAGGGTCATGAAATTTAGGTGAAATAATTGGACTTCGAGTCGACGAACCACGAAATATTAAAACGATGTAAAATATTAAAAATATCGCAAAGACTGTTCAACAAATTTTAACTTTCCCTCCAATCTGTACTATTCAATGCATAACTATTGTAGAGATCACCTGTTTAAATACGAATGTTTTCTCCAATGAGTAGCAGAATATGGTATGTAATACGAATTCTATTAATAAATAAACACACTAGACATCCTAATGTAACCCGTTAATACAGCACTAATTGCTTCAATAAGATTCCTAAGGATAAAATTACGCGCAAGACACTGCCAGCGCCATCTATGATTTGGGCTCAAAAATCAAGAAAGTGATAGGAATATAGAATAGGCAAAGAGGTCGTCGGTTGGCAGGTCACGTGACAGGCAAGGACAGAGAGGGGACAGAAAAGGATAGAAGGGCTCCGACAGAGAAAAGTTAATAAATTACTCAATTTCCGTAATTAATTTATGAACTTTTATAATTTCATTGCAAAGCTGGAACTT